GAGCCGAAGTGAGCCGAGTCCCAGCGCACTGGTCGCTAGGCAACGCGGATAAACAGTGGTTGCGATAGACGACCCTAGCAACAGTGATGCCTACCACGTGGCTGTTTTCTCATTGCCCTGCTGAAGGTTTATAAGGGAGCTACACAGCCGCCGACGACAGTTCTCAGTTCGCAAGTTACGAGTTACAGACGCGTGTGCGAGAATCAGTGATAGTTCATGATCACCAGTTATATTTGGAGTGTGTAATTCAGCGAGACTTGTATAGCTCCCGCGCTATTAATACGTGAAGACTCTTGAAGATAGTGTTAAAGAGATTTGGTTGTAGGGTTTGTAAAGTGTGGAAACCCGTAACATTGTTATAATTAATTGTAGCCGTTACTTGTAGGTTGTTAAATAAACCAATTAACCATCTCTACGGCGTCTTCAGTAACGAAACACGTTACAGTATCTTTATAGAGTGCATCTTGTTGTGTATTTGCAAACTGTTCTATTAGGCTTGTTCCATCTAAGGCAACTCAAAGAATGTATACCATTCAATTTGTTTTAATAATCTCACGACATGTTTCGACCATTTTCAGTTATCATCAGGTGAATACAACTGTTTAACAAATGCTCTTTTAGAATTGCAAACCATCTTACTTCTTATATGGGCCCATATTTACAATGATTTCTGGTGGATGACAATATTGGCATTCATCAATATTACATATTAATTTATTAAAATTGTAAAATATTAAAAATACAGTATATAGATATATGAATTGAATAATTCTGGAGTGAATCTTTGCTAGGTCGTAACTGGCTCAAACAAGGATGCAATTCTATATTTGCAGTTGGTAGGTGCTGAGTTACGAATATGGCAATGCATGATGTTTGAAAATGGACGGATGGGTACTTATCTTTAGCCTGACAAGGCTGTGGGTTTCACTTTTATGCTGCATAGCCCAACAGTATTCTTGTATATGTACATGGGTACAAAACTTGGATTCAAAAACACTATAAAAAGCAGAAATAAAATTTCTGAGAACAGTTGCTGGAAATGACCTTCTGATAAAGACATGAAATGTTAACATATGCCCCCCCCAACACCAAAAGAGATGAAGTTCTTGTGTGCTTATTTAATTAGAAACAATGTATGAGGACATATGGGGGAATGGAGGTACAGCTCCTTCATTCTTGACCTTCGCACTAGATGGAGATGAGTGGTGAGATTTGTGCCTGGTCACTTTACCCCTGGGGAAATAGCCTTAAGTACCCACTGTGCAGGAGGCTACATGGACCCCAGAGCTCGCAGAGCAACAGACTATAAATTTCAACTGCCAGCAGGAAGCAGGGACAAGGGACTTTTCTTCTCCACAGCATCCAGACCAGCTCTGGGGTCCACCTAGCCTAGGCTCTTGATATGGTAACACATGGACACAGATATAAGTTAAAAAAATTAAATCATGTAGTGAAAGAACAGAGCGAAAAATGGCACATACATAAAGAGTAAGTAGGGGGGAGAATATAAATACAAAATCAGTATGGAAATGCAAATTATGTCTCCTTTAAACTACTGCATTTACCCCTCAAGTGTACTTCCTCATATTTCCCTCCAATCAAATGACATGTAACAACATTTTCTGAATAACAAAGCTTAGCTTTAGAGGCACACTGCTGTTTATCAGGAGTGTTTAGTGTTTGGTGTTTACGTAGATACCAACAAACCAGCTTGAGCAACGTGGTACTCGTGTTACTGAGTTTCTTGTGGCCTCCTTCCCCTGTACCTATCCCTCTTCCTAAGCTGAGGCACTGGGGTCCCTTCTGAGTACTTCTGCAAAGAGGCTACATCAATTCCTACAACTACCACAAAAAGTGTTTCGAGCTCGTTGGCTGGAGAGGAATACAACTGCAGGAAGGAGTGGGAAGTCACAAGCTGACATCCTCACTATGCATGGAACTTCTTTCAGTGGTTTCAGTAAAGCTAAACATAAAAAAGAAGTTTCTGGTTATGGATATCCTAATACCTTCCTGAGCACCTCCAGCATAGCGACATCTGATACCCATATAAAATAATCTAACTCACTCATGGAGCTGAGCCCTTTTTGAGAAGTCACCAATTGTGCAGCCGTTCAAGAACTTCCCAGCATTTTATGGAACTCAAAGTTTCATTACTGTGTTCACAAGAGCCCTCAGCTGGTCCCTATCCTGTGCCAGATCGATCCAGTCCATACCATCCCATCCTCTCTAAGATCCATTTTAACATGTTCACTCACCTAAGTCTTGGTCTTCTTAGTGGTCTTTTTCCTTCTGGCTTTCCCACCAATATCCTATATATATTCCTTTTCTCCCCCACATGCCCCACCCATCTCATCCTCCTTGACTTGATCATTCTAATTATACTTGGCTAAGAGTACAAGTTGCCGGTCACGGTAGCCGAGTGGTCTGAGGCATGCACTGTCTTCGCTCGCTCGGAAGCCGGGATCGTGGGTTCGAATCCCACTCAGGGCATGGATGTTTGTGTGTGTTTTTCTGTGTTTGTCTACAGGTAGAGGCCTGGCGACGAGCTGATCACTCGCCCAAGGAGTCCTACCGTATCTGTAAGATCTAGAAAAACTGAAGTGAACCGAGTTCATGGAGGTAGGCCTAGGCCCACTGGGGCTGTAGTGCCAAGGAAAAAAAAAAAGAGTACAATTTATGGAGGCCTTCATTACGTAATTTTCTCCACCCCCCATCACTTCATATAAAATAATCTATTGAGATGTTAATAAGTCAGATGTTTTCTTATTAGTCAGGGGAGTTGGTCAGTACAGTGGCTGGACTACTAGGAACTGATTCCAATGGAGGGAGGGTAGGAAATATCTCTTTTGTCACTGTGTCTAGAGCAGTTACGGGATCCACCCAGCCTCCCGTCCACTGAGCTGTCACCCCTGCTCAAGTATGCAGCTGACCACACCCACAGCATTCTTCCATACCTTGTGACATAGGGTTTTATCAAGCACAGACACACCAGTATCTTACCTCACCAAATGAAAACTGACTAATGTAAAGTATTCAACTGAGTACACCTCTTATTAATTTGATAACAGACATTTATAAATATGCCAGGATAGCTCAGTCAGTATAGCTATTCGCTATGGGCTGTACAACCAATTGGTCAGAGTTCAAACCGCGATAGAGTAAAGAATTTTCTCTTCTCCATGTTGTCCAGACCAGCTGAGGTTCACCCAACCTAATACCCAATAGGTACTGGCGACTCTTTCCTGGGGGTAAAGCAGCTGGGTAGTGAAGCTGACCACTCACCTCCAGCTAGTGCCAAGGTCAAGAAAATGTGGATCTATACATCCACTCCCCATATGCCTTCATGGTGTAGTGCTTAATTAGTTACACACATGGGACAACTTTACCTTTACCTGTAACATTTAAACTGGACCATCAGTTTAAAATTCATGCAATTCGTATACTTACTGGAGGTGGCGGTTGCGGTGGAGGGGGCTGCATCTGTGGTGCTGGTGGGGCCATGAAACCTGGCATTGGCGGTGCCGGAGCTGCCACTGGAAATGGGGGCCGTGCTGGAACTGAACGCATTCGTGTTACACGATGAATAAAGGCGAGACAAATGTCTGGCTTAACCCCTTGCTCCTCTTAAGCAGTAGGATGTAGCAAAGCACAACCAGGCTGATAAATTCACATACTGAGATTTTAAGTACAATGGGCCAAGGATTATTTTATCAGCAAACTGATGCAGTATTAAAATTGTCGTCTTCTGGGATGTGGGGCCGTGTAGATGTTGTGTGAGCTGACGTTTTGGAGGAACATATTGCCTCCATCTTCAGGGTAGAAAAAATCTGCAAGTGAGGAACCAGCATGAGGTGGTTCACACAAGATCTACACAGTGCCACAACCCAGAAGATGGCATTCTTCAACATATGTAACTGTGTGAAGAAACATGAAACTTGCTGACTCTGAGCTGGTCTGATTACAGCAATCCTCATGGGAAATTTCTTTTTGGGGAACATGTACGTACATATGGTTTCTATTACGTATAGCCAAAGTGACACAACAAATTCAATACTGGTTTTTGTATCTTCCAATGTGTATTTTCTCAATTAGTTACGTGGTTGGTGCTTGCTCCATTTAAAAAATATCTTTACAGTCTTTCTCAAGATCCAAACATTGATCTGTATGGAATCTGGAGGTCTAGAAAGTATGCGATTCAACCTTTCCCATCTTGACAAAGCTATTGCTACAACTTCAGATATCTTAACCAACACATTTCAGTGGACTTGCAATGATAAGTTATAAATATGAACCTATTATGTGTAACATGTCTACATGTAATAACTACAGAACCACTAAATTATGTTCATTAAATCAGAGTGTGTGTGTGTTTCATTAAAATCCAGTAATACATGCCAATTTTGGTTAAAATTCGACAAAAACAACAGACACTTATAGCAAAAAATGTTCTGACCAACAGTTGTAGAGAAAAACAAAATAAGCTTTATGCCCAATATATTGTCATGTATCCTGGTAACACGACAAGAAGTTAATGGGTTCTGGATTAGACGATGCAATTTATTGGATAAGTTTTTACAATTACAATTACTCAAAAATAATGTCTTCCAAGTGATGCAACTTGACTAGTCTGCTGTCTCTCAAATTTCGTCTTCACTCTGCTATTCTGTATGCAACAGCTACTCTGCCGCTGCCTAGCAATGGATGCCTGCTCTGACTTGGGATACTCCGGCTTTTAGGTGGCACGCCACATTATATTTTCCACATGCATTATGCTTTTCGAGATAGTTAACCCTTAGCATACTGTGAGCCAGCTGGACAGGCTCAGCATACTTGCACTAAAATTGCAACACCCAAAGATATCAAATCTATGTTAATTACTCAGTACAGCATTTTTGTCAACAGATGGCATGCAGTGTGTGTGATATACTGATGATCAGCGTAAAGAGCAGACTTTCAAATACGAGGAGCGTTCCGTATATAATGCCCCCTATTTTTTTTTTTTAAAGAAAACTACAACAGATACAGAAAGCATAATAACGCAGTTAAATAGAGTAAAAGATTTCAGCTACTTACAGTTATTTTTTCACATAATCACCACCATTCGTTATGCACTTTTGCCAGCAATGAACAAGAGCCTGTATGCCGTGCCTATAAAAGTCTGAACCAGCATAGGGTAGCCACTTTCTTACAGCTGCAATGACAGCATCATTGTCTGGAAAATGTTGCCCACGTAGTCCGTCTTTCATAGGCCCAAAGAGATGGAAGTCTGAAGGCGCTAAACCGGGGCTATAAGGTGGATGTGGTAGGACAGTCCAGCCAAAATTTGCAATGTGTGCGGTGGTCGCCAAACTTGTATGGGGTCTAGCGTTATCGTGTTGCAAGCGAAAGGTTGTATGCTTCTTTGGCCTGACTCAGGAAATGCGGGCTTTCAGCTTAGTCAACGTAGTCTTGTGGCATTCAGAATTGACAGTCTAACCAGGCTCCTGGAAATCCAAGAAAATCACACCCCGCCTATCCCAAAAGACTGTGCACATCACTTTCCCTGCCGATGGCTGTCTTGAACTTCTTTTTCCTTGGGGAATCCGGATGTCGCCACTCCATGGACTGTCTTTTGGATTCCGGCTCATAGTGGTGATGCCACATCTCATCTCCAATGACGATGCTGTCCAGAAACTTGTCACCTTCAGCCTCAAACTGGTGCAACAGGTCCTGACAATCTTCAATTTGATGAGTTTTGTGGTCCTGTGTAAGCATCCGCGGGACCCACCTGAACAAACTTTGCAATAATCCAGCTTCCCCAACATTGTTTCCAATGCATTACAGCCGTTATTAAGCTATGCACACAGTTCCCTGGTCATTATCTGCCGATCTGTACAGATGAGCTGATCGAGGAGCTGTTCATTGTGAGGAGTGGCAACTGAGCAGGGATGCCCAGGGCGTGGCTTGTCGTGCACTTCACTTTCGCCACTGTTGAAACGCACTACCCACCGCCTCAATGTACTGACATCCACTGCATTGTCTCCGTACACTTTTAGCAAGTGTCGATGGATGTCCATGGGTACAATTTGTTTGGCAGTGAGAAATTCAATAACACATCTCTGTTTCATACGCACTTCTATGTCAGACACCATTTTGGTAGACCGCTCTGCTGTCGCTATCTGTTGCACGAAAACCAAACTAACAGTATACTGGCGGGAAGGTTCAACCATTACTACAACACCACCTACATCCATCTCAGACGTTACATTAACACAAAAAAATAGAAGGCATTATTTACACAACGCCCTTCGTAGTACAGACACCTGTGATCGTGTGAAGGTAATATGAGGAATTACTGTTGGTCTCTCTGTGAGTGCATTTGCCCCGCATGCAGTCTTCACATGTCCAGCAGGTGGTTCTATAGAGGCAGTTGCCAGTCAACAGGTTGAACAAAGATGACAGAGAGCATCAGAAATGTTGTGTAATGCATACTTTCCCTGATTTCTTGTCTTACCCATCAGTGGCGGCTGTCTCATGGGCATCATCATCATGCCTGGCTGGGGGGGCAGAAGCCCCGGTGGCGGCGGCAGTGCAGCCATGGGAGGCAGGCCCATAGGAGCAGGGGGAGGTGGAGGAGGGGCTGGTTGCTGTGGGGGTGCTGTCACTGGTACGGGTGGAGGTATGGGTTGAGGTTTGGCCTGAACAGCAGGTGGGGGAGCTTGTGGTTTTGATATAGGCACACTGGGGGGCTTGTTTGCAGATGTTATGGGAAGAGGAACAGCAGATTTGGTGCCAGGGGGTGGCGGCAGAGCTTGCATACTGGCAGCTGGTCGAGACCCCACGGGTTTCGGTCCAATTTTCTCTTTTTCCTCATCGGGTAAGAGTCCCTTCACTTTGTGGATCTGATGAATCTGTTCCTCCAAAGTGATATTGGCTCGTGCCGCTCGTGTCGCAGCTTCCACGCTCGACGTGTGTCCATCCCATGTGACCTGCAATCCCATCACATGTCAAAAAGAACTGAACTTCCTTCATAAATGTCTGTCAACCTTCCAAAATTAATTTTATTTTCTATCAAAGAATGAAGAGCATTAATTTACATAGGACATCCAGAAAGTAAAGACCATTTGGTGATAAAAAAAAAAGAATAAAATTTTAAAAAATCATCCTTACTACAGACCTTAAATTACTTTTCTACATAATTCCAATGATGATTCAGGCATTGGTCATATTGTGTGGTGAGTTTCTGTATGCCTGGAGCATGGAACTCTGCTGCCAGTCCACTGAACCAGTTTTTAACTGTCTTCTTCACTTTTTCATCGCTACACATGTTATGCTATGAACAAATAGTCTTTACTTTTTGTACAACCCTCTTAAAACCTGCTGTGTAAATGGGTACCCTAAACAGGTGAAGGAGACATACTGTAAACTGAAATATATGTGAAGATCGCCAACTGCCTTGGACAATATACCTGTGATGCTTATTAATGCTGGTTCCATCCATAAGCAACCATATTTCGACAGTGTTAATGTGCTCGTCGTAATGTTCGAACACACAAAATAAACAATGCAGACATTTGTCAACACATTCATAGGGACCTGGCCCCACTGTCTAGAAATCAACAACTTTCTTGGATCTATCAGAATATGCAATGAATCATGGTTACACCCCTTGCAGCCTAAAACTGAGCAAACTAGCAACGAGTATCAACCTTCATCATAAAAAGTCCGAAAATTGTTAGTACTACCAGCTGAGGGGTTATCCTGACTGTTTCCTGGGATACAAATAATGTCTCTGACACGCTTCTTCTAGAAGTTATCCCTACTAAAGTTAAACATACTGCAGTTTCTGAAGGAAAGTCTGAGAACATTACGCAAAAATGACATGCTCCAAGAGCACTGGCTTGCAGCATGAGAAGCTTACACCTCAGGCAAGGAGTGCTACTATCACAGAACTCTCATGACTGCCCTGCACATTGCCTCCGAGTGAGAGAAGCCACATTCATTGTGTAACCTACTTTCATAATAAGTATAAAGTTCAATGTGTGATATAATAATAACAGCTTCATCAAACAAAATATTCTGTGTAGGATTTGAGGTATTCACAGCGGTGACTGTGAAGAATGTTGTCTCCTGGGATGTAGCGTCGTGTAATGGAATTCTTCAACAGATTCTGTCATTATGGCTTCTGCAAAGTGCTGGAGATGCAGACTGTGACAAATAATGTGACGTACTTAAACTGTAAAGAAATACAAGGTCTCATATATAAAAATAACATATTAATTTTAATTATACACTGCATTTCATATTACCTTTTCATCTTTGCGCTTGTCTTCTTCTCCTATTTTCTTACCAATGGCTGTTTCCTCATCGCCCACGCCAAAAATATCAGTACGTCGTTCTGCCAGTTGTTTCAAACTAGCCTCGATAGCAGAGCCTGCAAAGAAATGAAGGAAAAAAACAGAGGTGATGTTCCTATGTTGAAGTATGACTAAAGTCTTATTTATTTATTTATTTATGGTTTACCTAATGGGGTTGTCAGTGGCCCAAATTATACAGTGTCAAATGAGATGATTAGTGCTGAACTGGAAAATAGAAAGGGAGTGGTCATCGTTTAAGATACTGTCCCATAAGTTAAAAAAAAAAAAAAAAAGCTGATGGAAATCATACAAAAATCACCAGAAGAGCCAGCTTTTCAGCGAAGATTTTACCCAGGACATCCTGAAGCAGCAATGCTGCTATCCACTTAATCACGACTTTCAATGATGTTCAGTTTAAATTTTGATTTGCAGACATTTACGAATAACCCAGTGCAGTTCATTCAAGTACAAACAAAACAATAAATGCATCAATCAATCGATCGATCAATCAATCTTAACCTTGGAGATGGGTGATAACTGTAACACACAAACCCTACTTTATCCCAGGACAACCACATTTCGATACAAGACTTGCTGGGTCCCGCAGCTGTTCTGCGGAACCCAACCATAGGCATTCAGGATAGGGTATCAGATCTCTACATTAACTGTGGTATATACCTGGAGCATACACAGTCTCCTGGTTGATCTTATCCTGGATTTGTCGGTCTCTCTGCTCAACCCAACGGGGATCCAACAATCCAATTCGCATATGCTCCTGAACTTTGGTAGCTGGAATCTTCTCTCCAGTAAGAGGAGAGATAAGCAGTTCATCTGGGGCAGGAGGACGTACGGTCTTCACAGCTAAAACCATGGAGATAAAAAAAAATTAAAATATCACATTTTTACTGTGGTTCTTTGCAGCCTTCAGAAATACCTTAACATATGTGTAACAAGCTGTCATGTACATTCATTCATACCACTGGTAAAGTCCATCAAAATCCAACATCAATTCATTCTTCATACTCTTCTTTCCTTTATCTTCTTCCTCCATTTCTTTGTTAAAGCAATAAATTAAGTTACACAGGGCACATGGTAGCATAGCTGGTTGAGGCACTATGCTGCAAGCTGGAAGGTCGCGGGCTGGAGTCCCAATGAGGTCACTGAATTTTTTTTCAATTTACCTAATCCTTCCAATGGCCCTAGGGCAGACTCAACCTCTAACAGAAATGAGTACAAGGAACCTTATTGTGGCAAGGGGGTTTGAGAATGCCAAGGACCCTGAGAGCTATACTAGCAGTAGCGTAGCTACTGGCAGGGCCTCCCTTGCTGGACAGGTCAAAGGGTAGGCATCAGACAAAGAGAGACACCAAAAACCAAAAACTGATGCCGGAAGCAGCGTCATCAGCAGCGCCTTGAAGCACAGAGCAAATGATGCTCGAGATGGTTCAAGTTCGTATAGCAACAGGCGTGACCAGAGTGGTTTGAACAGCTGTTGTACTGCGATGTGGAAAGCAAATGGAAAAACTACTGCATTATCACTTTGAGTGGTTTGTCTCTTTCCAAAAGCAGAAGATCGCATTAAGTGGAGGAACTGTTCTGAAAGAGACTGTGGACCTGTCATCTGACAGATTACTGATGAATGAATGAATGAATGAATGAAAGGACAGTGTATGGCTGACAACCTTACCACCATCTGTGAGCCACCTGTCTAGAAGATGTGGGAGCCTTGACTTTTCACCCACCATGGGCCTTCACAGCCTGTTACAGGGACAGTTTTACCTTTTTCTTCCTACACCTTTATCCTTCAGAGGATCAACCTGTGTAGATAAATGAAAACTAATGTGTGTATACGTCAACACAAATCTGAACCCGACTGCAGACAGTTACGTTTTCGAATAAACTACCGTGGGCCTCATAATCAAATATAAAATATTATTATTATACTATTCTGTGAAATAAAATCACTATTAAACAGCATAATTTCATTAGAAGTACAAACAAAGCTAAAAACTGCACACTTGCAGCTGGCCCAGTGCATGGACATCTCATGAATACAGAAGTTGATTGGTCTCTGGACTATGGATCAGGAATTCCATACATTTCTCTTCAACTGTGATGAAACAAGTAGTTAATATGACAAGATTACTGAACTTAAAACAAATACAGCCTTTGAATATTCTTAAATAAAACATTAGTGGCAGTAAGGAATGTATTTTAAAAGACAATCATGAAGAACATCAATTAAAGACAAAATTTCAAATCTTATAACAGAAAAATGGCTTATAAAATTCTATTCTGGATTTAAAAAAACAAAGAAATACGGGAATATCCAAAAGATGGCAGGTGCCATGAACATTTGCTCAAGCTGACAATGCTCAGACGGGGAACGAGGGAAGCCCAATGGAAGACAAACAGAGGACAGCAACTAGGGATTGCAACAAACCAATAAATTAACTAAACTGACTTCAGGAGCTGAGCCCTTCTTGAAGAGTCGCCAGTTCTGCAGGCACTCAAGAACTTCCCAGCATTCTACGGTGCCCAAAGTTTCAATACAATGTTCAGAACAGCCCTCCACTGGTCCCCACCTTCAGCCATACCAATCCAGTCCATACCACACCATCCTATCTCTCTTAAGATTCATTTTAATATTACCCACCTAGCTACCTCTTGGTCTTCCTAGTGGTCTCTTTCCCTCTGGCTTCCCCCCTTGATATCCTATATACATTCATCTTTTTTCCCCATTCATATTGCATGCCTTGCTCATCCCATTCTCCTTGACTTGATCATACTGATTATAACTGGAGAAGAGTATAAGTTATGAAGTTCCTCATTATGCAGTTTTCTCCAACCTCCTGTCACTTCATCCCTCTTCAGTCCAAATATTCTCAACACCCTATTCTCAGATACCCTCAGTCTGTGTTCCTCCCTTAATGTCACAGACCAAGTTTCACACCCATATAGAACCACAGGCAAAATATGTCCGAAAGAACTGAGGGAATTAATGGAACAGATAAGAAGCTACGCATTTGTCTAGCGATGCATGAAGCTCACTGAAAATCCTGGTCAATATGTGTATAACACTCTAAAGGCAAAAAGCAAGTGTAAATTTTACAGATCTGTTTACATGATCTCTGGGTTTTAGCTTTTGCATGCTTTAATGACACCTGGTAACCTGACAGGTATGAATTAAATATNAAAAATAAAAAAAAAAAAAAAAAAAAAACTGTGATTTTAGTCCGCAAGTGAACTATACCAACCGAGCAACTGCAGCTTGTTGGCAAAGTTTAGTGCCAACTTTTGTGGATAGAGCGTGTTGCGTGGTCAGCGCAACGAATCCCCATGGCCGTTTATTTCAGTTTTTTAGACCAGAGCCGCTATTTCTTTGAAATAGCTCTTCAATTATCATCACGAGGCTGAGTGGACCCCGTTCCAGAGCCACTATTTCTCAGGAACAACTGGCAGCGCCGGGAATCGAACCCGGACCTCTGGATCTGTAGCCAGGCACACTGACCACTAGACCACAGAGGCAGTTTACAAATACACATGAAATATGAAGCAGACATCTGACTCGCACAAAGAGTGGAAGATGGATCATCGAGGCACCTTGTTTGGGATCATAACCCTTCTTAACCACCACTTTGTCAGGTGTCGGAGGTAACGGAGGTGGCTGCTGCACTTCACGTGGTGGCATGGGCACAGGGGGAGCCTTCTTCCCACCAGCAGCTGACACAGGTGCAGATGGTTCATCTTCCTCTTCACTCGATTCTTCCTCCATGTCTTGAACCTGCAGAGAAAGAGGATGGTTGTGATACACGCTCATAGTGCGTTTAATTTTCATGGGCTGCTGTGTAGCACTATTGTGACAGCACAGTGCCACTTTTCACAAATACCATTACTCTGCCCACCTGTCCACCTGTGAAGGTAAAGGTAAATTTGTCCCTGTGCAGAACCACATATTCTTAACCTCATCACTAATTGGTCTCTGGCCATCAGTGTCTGCACTAACGGGATTTAAATTTCTGTATGATCGCAGATTAACTGATATTTCAATCCTCATTGTTGCCACATTGTCTCTAGTAACAGCTTCCTCTTGCTACATGGAGAACATCTAGACAACTGAAGATGTGCATAATGTTTTTGCTGTGCTCAAGGTGCGGGCCATGCAAACATATACACCGTAGCACGCAGATATGTTACTAGGTAGCGACCCATGGCAACGAGTCCACGCACAACAGAGGAACTGTCAAAAAGGGTTTTCTATGCAGTCCGTGCCAAGGGGTTATATAATGAGGTCAGCAGCTAAGCTGGAGTCAGTTATAAAGCAGTCTGTGCAGAGAAGACTAGGAGGCTGGCATGAGATGGCCACCAGCCTGGGACTTGAGACTGTTGCAGGAATGAGTTCAGTCACACAGTATTAGCCAGCTGGCAATGGCATGAGCACAGAAGCTGAAGAATCTCAACTGTTAGAAGCTATTACCAGGAAATGGCTGGTGGAGACTGTAATAGACTAAGAACACTACTGCGTGTGTGGAATAGTGAACTATAAAGTGTAGTCACAAGATGTGTTAAAGCATGCAATAATTTGAGTCACCAGTCATCTCAGCATATACCTCAATGGAGTGAAGAGACACATGAAACATCTGTCAGGACAGTATCCTGGTGAAATTCATGCTCGAACCTCCAAAATACAAGTTCTGAAGCATTACCACTTGAGACAAATGGCTCGGCAGGTGTAAAAATCTAGTTAGTGTCTTCACTGAAAGTTATTATGTTATTAAATGGCATAAAACCACAGGCCCTCTTGACAACTCAGTTAAGATCCTGACAGTTAAAACAGAGCTCATCCTATTCTGACACTCATTACGCACAATGAAACTTGATTCTACATTCAACGCTTAATAAAATCTGAACTTCATTACCTGTGTATTGTCCTTTGCCTCTTTGGCTTCCTGATCCTCTTCATCTTGTCGTTCATCTGCCCTCCTGTCCTCTTCTTCACCTTCATCTTCCTCTTCTTCCTCCTCCTCGTGCTCACTTTCGATCTGCATCTCGATCTCATCACCTTCTTCGATACGTTCCTGTAGAGTTTTGATAAAAGAAAACAACACAAACAAAATGTAATCACCCAAATTTATAGAATAATGCTGCGGATAACACTGATGCATTAATCATTTCTCATCTTTTATTTCCACTCTCACTCCTACCAACTACAGATTAATCTGATTCAAAAACAAAAGAAAGACACTTTCATTTGGAAGAACATAAAGCTCCTGCCATCTGTCCCTATATATGAACAACTACAAGAAGGGTCAAGGAACATAAACGGCAAATATTTGCTTCTAAGAGTACCTCTGTAGGTGAAAATTATATTGGAAGCCCCATGCCAGAGGAGAGGAGAGAGTTAAAGATTCTTCAAAACCTTGGACAAAACAATGGAAACACTACAGATACTGTACACATTTCTCTATTGATATGGTGTTTGGTGCCACTTTTTGTCTTAAATACAGCCGCAGTCATCCTTGGTATGGACTCATACAAGTTTTGAGCAGTCTCTAACAGAATTTTACACCATTTTTCTTGAAGAACATCTGCTTTAGAGATGTTGGAGATGGGAATCTGTTCCTCACTCTAGCCCCCAAAACTGACCAGAGTGTTTCAGTGATGTTCAAATATGGTGATTGTGCTGACCAGGGAAGATGCTGAAGTTTACCTTCATGCTCTTGAAACCATGACTGAACAGTTCCAGCTGTGTGAATGGGGGCACTGACATCTTGAGTAAATGCATCGTTGTTTCAAAATAATGTCCAGATCATGGGATGCACCTGATCACCCAACCTGTCCATGTACTCCTTGCAGTAATTCAGCCATGAAGGATAATAATGGGACCACACAACATTGCTGCCCAAACCATCACAGCACCTATCCCATGTTTCACTGTTGGAACCAGGCACTCCGGATTGTAGGCTTCCTTGGGCTTCCTCCAAATGTAAACTCTTCCTGATGTAGGAAACAGTGTGAATGATGATTCATCTGACCATATCATACATGCATTTGCAGATGTCTGGTGTTCAGGTTTTATGGCCATGACACCATCATTTATGCATCTGAGAATTACTTTCAGTAATCAGAGATTTACCAATTGAAGCCCTGTCATGGATGCTGGATTTGTGATGCTCATGTTGGACAGTTTTTGTGGAAACAGGATCTTCAAAATGAATATTCAGTTCTGCCATCATCCGTGCTACAGTAGTTCTGATATTTTTCAAAATAATCCTTCTCATCATACAATGATCTCTTTCTCTTAATGCTGATTTCACCAATTTTTCCTCTTTGCTGGTGTTGTCTTCCCACAATTTGGGTATGTCAACACAGCCTGAGAAAGTGTCGCTCTCGATACACGTACTAATGTGGCATTCCCCCCCCCCCACAGATGCTCCAGCTAAACTCACACCAACAATCCGTCCTCTTTCAAAATCAGAGATGTTTCCAATTTTTTGATTCTTTCATATTGAATGTCACTCAACACATTCACTAATGAACTTACACAAGCACTACAGAGTGTAAAGAAACATTCACGGTTCTAACTGAAGTTCATTTAATGTAGCCAATACAAACAATTCTATTCCTCAATTTCTTGGTGTTTCCATTATTTTGTCCACCCCCTGTACATTTGGGCCCCCATTTAGCATTCCTTGGCTTAAGGTTTTTCCGTGTTGAACGTTCAATTTCAATTATTAATGGTATTTATGTTTAAAACAATATGACACTAGATCTACTGGACCCATATATGTGATCCAAGGACAATAAAGATTAAAGGATCACAATGATTGCAGACAGCACACACATTCTTCTTTCTCAGTCAATGTTTCCACTTTAAATGAGTCTTCTAGCAACCAACCAACCAACCAACCAACCAACCAACCATGCCTCTCCAGCTATCTCTTATCTTCCCCTACATCATCCTCTCAAGTTCTTCCTTGTTTCTATCTATAGGATGTCTGAAAATAATGCTGCAGTTTCGAGACCCAATATTAGAAAAAAAAAATACATATCCAAGAAACTAATATCTTGTTTGTGCACCATTCACAGCCCTGCACATGTTCAACCGATGTAATGGCCTCTCTTGTTCTTGCTTCCAAACTCTCAAACTGTGTCCACACAAACGTGATTACTGACAGCCACAAAAGAAAAAAGTCAGGCATTGTCAAATTATGGCTCCTAGATGGCCACAAATTTGAACCAACCCTGCCAATCCATCTTCCAGGTAATGTTGCACTACTAACTTCTACAACACATTTTGAGAAATGCAGTGGTGTTCCATCTTGTTGGAAAATTATGGTGTTTGTGAGGCCAGTTTCTTCTGAGGAAAAACAAAGTTCTCTAGCATGTCCAGGTAAACTTTGTCCATTATTTGTGCTTTCCACAAAGGAAAATGACCCAAAGATACAAACACGAATTAATCTTCTCCAAACATTCATCCTGATATGGATATGGAGTATAACACATGCAGTCACAGGAGCGAGACACAACATAGAGCACAATACACGATAGTGAAAGAGTGCTCCAACAGACGATGATAGACGTGACTCGCGTAATGAAACACGACGTAAGAATGAAATATGCTGTATAATTTTAATATTTTAACACTTAACATTTATCAGTAAACGTGTAAACCAGTGTAACGTGTTTACGTTACTGAATAGGCCGTAGAGATGGTTAATTGGTTTATTTAACAATCTACAAATAACGGCTATAATTAATGATCACAATATTATGGGTTTCCACACTTTACAAACCCTACAACAAAATCTCTTAACACAATCTTCACTTGTCTTCACGTACTGATAACGCGGGAGCTATACAAGTCTCCCTGAAATACACACTCCGAGTATAGCTGTACTACAGCAATCACTATGTCTGGAAAGCACACAATAAGTCTTCCGCTTGCTGACTTCTTAGTTATCGCACACTCGCAGGCTGCTATGTTTCAACTGAACTGGTAGCTGCTGTGGAGTCCACTTATATAGCCTTGCGCTGTTGCTAGTGTGACGTGGCGTATAGCCTAGGACGCTGTTGCTAGTGTGACGTCACCGCTGTTGATTAGCATTGCGTAGTTGCCAGGTTACGGGGCTCGGCTATCTTCGGCTCCGCTCGGCTCTCTTCGGCTCCGCTCGTGACGTCACCGCGCGT